AGGAAAATGTGGATTAACCATCACGAACTCTTTGGAATTTTTTTGTGAAAAATTGTTGAAAAAAACGACGATTTTTTTGGTGTTTTTTCTTTCACTGCTCTCAAAAAATGCTAAACATTGAAATAGAATTATGAATTTTACAGTTTTAGTACTAAATTTTATGTAGTTTTCAAATATATTAATAGTTTTTTGGAAGGGATTATTAGTATTTCTAAAAACTTAATTCTTTGGAGCTTTGTTTTGGATAAATACTGTATTACTTAAAATTTACTCTCTAGAGATTTCCCTGATGGTCTAATGTTAGAAAGGGCTGTGTTTTCATTTTCTGCACGTTTTAATTAGTAAATTACCGTAGTTTTATCAAAATCTGTGACATGAAAAATGGTCGAAAATTTTGCCATTTTTAGTTATTTTTTGGAAGTTTTCAAAGCTCTTAGAAAAATAGTAAACATTAACGAAAAATTATGACAATTTCAAGAGTGAATAGGAAATTTTATGTAGATTTAGAATATATAATGATATAAAAGCTAAAGTGCTTCGGTTTTGTAAGAATCTTGATTTTTCGAATCCATATTTTCGAACGATTTTTCATTGTAGCTAAAATATTACCTACAGTTCATACTGAACTTATAAGGCTAAAATAGTCTAGATTTTCGTGTTCTACGCATTTTAATTAGTAAATAACAGTATTTTCATCAAAATCGGTTGAAAAATTGACCATTTTTGGCTATTTTTTACAAATTTTTAAAGCTCGTAGAAAAATAGTAAACATTATCGTAAAATTATGAAAATTTGAGTATTTGTAGGAAATTTTATGTAGATTTAGAATATATCATGACATAATAGCTTAAGGCTTTATGATTTTGTATGAAACTGAATAATTCAATCCCTTGACATTTACAACTAATGAGAGTAAACTTTTGTTGGTAATAATTGTTGCTAATAAGTAAAAATTAGTGCCATAAATATAAGATAACTTTATCTGCGACACTGTTATACAAAAATTTACTGCATCGATCTAAATTAATCACCGAGCCCTTTTAAAACGAAGAAAAACGAGGCGAAAGAGTGCGGAAAATGCGGGAAAACCTCCGTTAACTTTTCCGCTTTTCCCCGGGTCTCCTGCGTCGTTTTTTCCCGGTGAAAAATGGCCGGCACACTTTCGACCAAGTGAATTTAAGTTGGAGCAGATTGTTTTACATTATTTAGACGTCAGGCGGGGACCAATTTGTTTATCCCGGCGAAAGGGACCTTTAAAAGGGTGTTTTTTTAGCGGTTTGGCGGCATTAAGGGTCGATTAAAGGGATTTGAAGGAATCTGGAGGTGATTTTGGACGGCAGGTGTTGGCATTTTTAATCATAATAATGGAATTTTTAGTACTAATTATATGTTGTAAACGAAAGAGCTATACAGGGTGTCTCAGAAATAAGGCAGATATTTTAAGATGGTGGTAGATCTATTTTTAAAATAAATTAAAAATAGTCGAGTTATTTAAATTTGAAAATTTTAAAAAATAACGGCAACATTTTGAGAGCCGCTGGCGATACCCACAAGTGAATAAACTAGTGGCACTAAAAAGTTTTTAAAATTTTCCGAAAAATGTCAAGAAAAATATAAAATTTTTAACAATTTTTTTTCGCAAAAAAACTGATAGGCTTCTTTCTGGGGCCAGTTAAAATGTTTGCACTTATTTCTGGGACAGCCAGTATAGTGTGTCCCAATATTCCGTGGACATAGACCCATGGGCGCCGGAAGAATGAAATTTAGGGGGGGGCAAGGTAAAAATGAATAAAAAATTGACATTTTTGGTAATTATTGGGAAAACTGGAAATCATCCGATTTTCACCAAAATTGGTATACACCCTATTTTGAAGTCGTAGATTACGAATCTGAACTTTTTTCTTGGCGGTCTCTCAAAATAATTTCAATATCGAATTTTTCTTAATTTCTCATATTTTTAAGGTTTTCTAGCACATATTTTGTTAGGTATTCAATAATCAATAATGTTTTTTCTATTTTCTGTTACTTTTTTAACCAATTCTATGCCTAATAGAGGAAAATTTGCTAAAATAAATTTGTAAACAATCTGAAAATGTTAGGTTATAGCTTTGTTCGGGTTCTTGTTATTACCGATTCTGAACCGTCCAAGAACTCTGCAGCGCATGCGCAAATGAAATAATGTCTTCATATTTCCTTCTGCGCATACGCATCACAGTTCTAGGACGGTTCAGAATCGGTAATAAGAGAAACCCGAAGTAAGTTTATGTGTTTCTGGCATTTAAAGCAACGTTGCCAATGCTAAACCTAAATTTAGCGTGTTTTTTTCGCTCATTCTGGAATTACGAAAGGCGGTCGCCAGAAGAACGGCTCCTTCCCATAACTGCTATTTTACCAACGAGATCTGACTATTTATACCCACGAAGTTGCACGAAAGAGTTTTGATTGCATTGGTTACAACTTCCATGCAGAGGGTGTTAATCTTTTGTTGTTATATTATTAGATTAACTAAAAAAAGATTAACCCCCTCCGCAAAGAAGTTAAAACCAATGCAATCAAAACTCTTCCGCGTAATTTTGTGGATATAGGTGTATATTTAATTATTGTCGATCTCATAATAGGTAATTTATTTAAAATCCCTAATCACCCGAAAAAATAGAAGATATGGCAACGTTGTAAATTTTCAAATTTCTAGATTAGGTCTAGAATATATTTGTCTCTCTTATTACATAGGAGAGAGAAAGAAGGATATATCAAATGTCAAACTTCCATCTGGTCTCAATTTTCTTTGCTATTTTGTTAAGAAAAGTGTTTTTCAGTAAAATGTTGGACACTTTTCTATCCCCAATCAAGTGTGGCTTTTAGATAGACTATAATATAATGAAAATATAGTGAAATTATTACTTTATAGGGCCGAAATAAAGAAAAATTCAATGTTGAAATAATTTTCCGTTTTTCTGAAAAACGGTAAGACAAACCAAACCAAACCAAACCAAGAAAAAAATAGATTCGTAATCTACGACTTCAAAATAGTGTGTATACCAATTTTGGTGAAAATCGGACGATTTCCAGTTTTCCCAATAATTACCACATTTTTTATTATTTTACAGGTAACACCTAACAATTTCATAATAATGATTATTTTTTTTACAGATGGATGTAAGAAGATAGTTTTTATTTTTATTGTTTCAGTGATCCAGGGGGGGGGGCAAATGCCCCCTCTTGCCCCCCCTGTCCGGCGCCCATGCATAGAACTACTACATATTTTTGGACACAATTTACCTCTATACAAAAGTGCTTTGTTCGTTAAAGAGCGTCAAATTAAAAAAAATAAACACATTTTTTTTAAGATATCTTAAGAAACGTTATTCCGATTAAAATGAGATTTGGGTTGCCTACGTTTTGCTAAGCACTTTGACATATGACTTTCACGAAAATCAAGAGAAAGTACGGGAAGGTTGAAAATCATTGCATATTTTTGGGGAACATTTTTTTCCGATTTTTTTTTACAAATCAGACCTACAAAATATACAGTGAGTTTCAATATTCCGTGAACATAATACAGCTAAGTATTTTTTGAATCGAAATAAGTTAATTGCACACAATTTACTTCTATAGTCTATAAAATGAATAACTTTGAATTTTGACCGTTATTTTTTACCAACATGGCAAATATAAAATCCCTCTGTCAAAAAAGTTACTGATATTCTTTAAATTGAGTGCCTGAACAAATCAGATAGGTAACTCTTTTTACTTTCGTGAAATAGAAAAGGAAAAGAATAAAACAAGTGATAGTTCTTCCTCTTCTTGCAAAAATCAACACAAAATGTCATAATTTTAAAGGTAAAATGTCATCAGCTTTTGACATTTGTAAATATCAGACCAATGCCGTCTCTAATAGAACAGCCTCGGAGCGAGATTTATGACGTCACGCTAGTTAGATAGTACGGATTAATAAATATGTTGTAGAATACATAGAAAACATAATTATTCCTCGTATTTTTGGTTTGTATCTTTAAAATGATATAGTTTACATGAAATATACGTAATATACAGTTAATAAATACCATATATATATACCTATTTATAGTAATAAATACTTTGGCAAATAAACTATGAACCACACAAATGCAGCAAATGTTTTACAATATACAAATAATGAATAGGTACATAAGATAATGGGTAAAATGTAAAATATATTTTAAATTTTGGGGTTGTCGATCTAATCTAACAAAAAACATTCAATATCTACTAACAGTGATGTATTATTATTTGCATTCACAAAATTTATATGTATATTTTGCATGTATCAATGTTCGAAAAATTATATTTGCAAATACAATCTCATAGAAAAAAAGGCGTCAGTGATGGCCATGAAATAAAGATCGCTGTTATTTTATATGTAAAATTATTCTAAAATTTTTGATTTTCTTAGGATAAATTTTGTGAATTCAAATAATAATACATCACTATTTGTAGATATTGAATGTTTTTTGTTAAATTAGATCGATTTTCAAACCCCAAAATTTTAAATATATTTTACATTTTACCCCTTATCTTATGTACCTATTCATTATTTGTAGGCATACCTATTCATTATTATAAATAGGTATATATATATTGTATTTATTAACTTAATTATTTTTATTCTCTGAAAAAGTATGACTGTGCCGTTTTTTTTATAAGAAACATATTAGTAGTAAATACTAGGAGGACCATTTTAGGAAAAAAAAATCAGTGGCCAGTGAAGCTGGCAACTATTTCTACTAAAATTTATGTAGGTGTAGGGGTAATTTGGTCCTTCCCGTACATTTTTCTTAATTTAAAACTAGTTTAATCATCTGCTGATGATGACTAAATTATGATAATACACAAAATACTAAAAACAGAAAGAAAAATGTAATATAGTTCACCTAATAGAACTCTCATAAAAAACACTGACTTATAGAGAACATCCTTTTATTATAAATTTATCCAATAATTTAACAACTATTTTGTTTCAGATTTTCTACATCTTTTGGACAAGTCAAGTACCATTCTATTTATCAAGCCGGGCTCACAATTTTGGCCCTCATCGAGACGAAAAACAAACAAAATTAAACATTTAAGCTGGAAACACACTAGTATGGACAAAATTACTGTTATGTAGCTTTACTCAAAAAAATAAGTAAGTAAAAATACGATATTTGAATCTAGAAATAAAATTTTTTAACAAATTTTGTCAATAACCATAACCTTAGAAATGTCTGTCTTGACTGAACAGCTAAAACGTTATGTGTAGACTATGCTTTATAGAAAAAAAAATCTGTAGGTGTATTTTCTTGCTTTTTTCTGATTTTTTAATATTTTTTTTTCTACAAACCCTAATTAATATTTTTTTCTTCTATTTTCAGCCTTTTTTAATTTATTTCAACCTCATAAAACTGACGCTCTATATCTCTAAAACTGAACAGAATAGAGAACAAAATGACCCAAAATGACGACAAAAAGGAGACAACCAAAATAAAAATAAAGGAAGATATCAACAGAGTTTAAAATAGTCGAATGAATCAAATTAAACACCGTTCAAGAACATCAAAGACTGCAGGAAGACAAGACAATCGGTAATAAATAGGTTTGACAAAGGTTCAGCATTTTGTCGTGTGAATAAAAAATAAAAAAAAGGTTTCAAAAAATACCCTCCAATTTGAATGACTAAACAAAGAAGACCACAGCGAGGATAGCATGTAAATTAGATTCTTTGAGTACCTTCACGACACCTGTATAGTTTAGCAAACAATGGTTCATATTAAATAGGATAGAAAAAGGTGTAACGTTTTTATATCTGTTTGTTTTTTCGGTTCTACAGGTATATGTTGATTTAGTTCAGGTATTTTACAAGATTTCTTCATGGTAAAGGGTTAAATTCGTATATGATATGAAATTAAAAACAAACCAATATGAAAGCAATCTTCTTGAACCCCCTGTATAAAGTTTGAACACATATTATTATAGTATACTACCTCAAATACAACAAACATTTTTTTAATGAAATAGATATTTCAGAATAATCAAAAATATTATTTTTATAATAACAAAAATTGTTGTTTAAATATGATGATTTGTTTCGGGTATTTTAGAAGATATCCTGATGGCAAAAAGGTTTTTTTAAGTTAAATTATTATTTCATTTAAAATTAAAAATAAACCAACATGAAAGCAATATTTTTGAACCCCTTGTATAGAGCTTGTTATACATATTATTATAGTATACTACCTCAAATTCCAACAAAGATAGATATTTTAATAAATTAAACGTTTCAAATATATCAAAAGTATCCCTTTTGTGATAACAAAAATTATTGCATGGTGTAAAAAAATTAAAAAGTGGTTGGAAGGTAAATAAATGATAGAAAGATACCTTGAAGTTTAGTTGAATAAAAAATGATTTTTATACAGTTAAAAAAAATATTAGAAAGTTTTAGTATCTAAGGTTTTTTTAAGAGAAAAAGATTTAGACAGCAAACCAAATATTCTGGACTTTTTAAAAATTGATAATTTTTAAGTTAAACTATGATATAATAACATACTAAATATAGAAACTTATTATTAAAAAATAGCTGACATATTGATGATGCATTTAAGTTTTTATAATAATTAAAGAAATCAAAAAAATTAAATAAAGATATAAAAAATAGGTCAAGATATAGATAAGTATATAAGAACAAAAATAGAAAAAAATATAATATAAATAAAATAAAAAAAGCTTCTAATTAAAGCATATAAATTATAATATTATGAATGTAGCGCCGAAGAAAAATATTATTAAATTACCAAAAAATAAGAATAAAAAATGATACAACAAAAATCACTGAAAAGCAGACTCCTCTAAACTTTAAAAATACTTGTATAAGAATTTATATTTAAAATTTCATAACTTAGTATATGTTTGTTAACACAAATTACAAGAAAAATAGAGATAAATAACTTAAAACTGATTTAGAAATAGAAATAATAAAGAATCATTCAGAAAAACAACGCGTTAAAAAAATAGAATAATAAAATTGGGTCGTATGATAAAAGAATGCAAAAAACTAAAATAAAACGAATAATTTTTATTAACCGAATAATTTATCTTAATATTAAATAAGGAAGATTAAAAAAAACATAGCATAGAAGATATAAAAATGAAAATAAATATCTTTAAAATGCAATTAAAAGTAAAATTATTAAAATTTTAGTTATAATCTTATCGACAACCATAGTAAGTAAAAATGTGTTGTTTCTAAAATGGTTAAATGATTAGAATAATCTCCAATAAACTAGAACAACAAAATTTAAAAAAATACAATTAAAAACTAATATAACTAAAAAAAGAATTGAGAAAATAAAGATCAAAATACCATTTTTTCTAATAACTTAAGAATTAATGCATTAAAATATAAAGCATGGACCTAAAAAAAATTAAATAAAATTATTTTAACAAAATTGTAGAAAATAACAACTTGAAAAGAACAAAACTACATATTTTTTAATAATTTTACAATTTGAGTTTTGAAATAGTCTTCTTCCTTTTGTTTTTTTTTCCTTTTGAAATGGTCTTCCTTGCTAGAGTAAGGGCTACAATAAAATATAACAATAACAAAGAATAAAAGGATAAATAAAAATTAAAAACTAAATACAGATCAAAATTACATATTTTCTGATAAATTAAATAACCAAAAAATATAAAAAAATCGAATTGAAAAGATAAAATCTATTTAAAATTTAAAAGAAATTAACTTAATAACACTGTAATAAACAACAATCGACTTGAAAAAATCCTAAATAAAATTATAGTAAAAAAATCAAAACTACTTACTTATTTTTTAAATAATTTTACACATTTTACAATCATAATTTGGAAATAATAACCTATTAAGACCTACAATTATTACTATTGCAAAAAATACATAAAATAAAATAAAAATTCAAAACAATAACCATATATCCTACACAAAACTTCTAATTAAAAATTTAAAAAAATAAAATTAATCACACAAAACTCTAATAATTCTTACTCACCCCAAGCAAGCTAGGCAACTTTTTCTTGACTTAAAACAACTCCCCCCACCCCCTCTTTCTAGAGGGGAATACCATCCAGCTTCAAGCAGCGTCGCGTTGGTGGGGATAACCGTTTCCTGTAAGAATTGAAAATAGCGCCGGTAAGAGACCGTCGTGGGGGGTAGGAAAGGGGGAACCGGGGGGATACGTAGGGGTGCGCGGGGGTGAAATACGAACGAGGGGTAAGAATAAGGAAGGGAGAAGGAAAAGAGGGTGTGGCCTACCGCGCGGTACGAAGTAAGAAATCAATGACTGTGTGTGCTCTTGGGAGAGAGACTGTGGAGTACATTGGCGTAGAATTTTTTTAAAAAAGTGTTAAAAGTATATTTATTGGGTAACAAAATATTTTAAAAAAATTTTGATATTTTTTTAACTGTGAAGTTGTAGCATATTAAATTTATGGTGTTAAATATAGACAAATCACTAAATAACGAACCAAAAATACCTATATATAATTTATTATAAAAAAATTTAGACTAACTAAAATTCCTTTTTTTTTCTAATTTTGACATTTTCTAAAGTGTCACTTTTCACAATCCTTTGACGTTTCGAAGGATGTTTCATTTCGCAACTACTTGCAAAATATTTTTCTTTTTACAACTAGGGATGTAATAAGTAATTCGTTATTAGTCGCTTAAAAAAAACAAAAAAATGAGCATTCTTTTTCAAGAAAATGAAATGGAAAACAGGAGTTCAATAAAATTTAATTAAAAAAAATAAAACAAAAATAAATTAAAATAACACTAACACTAAACAACAATAACAAAAATATTATACAAAAAAAGTATAGTCCCTCCAACGAGATAATTATTGAAAGTGATAAATACGTCTATCATTTAATTCTAAAGTATTTTATTCCAATTAATATATTTCAAATTTCAGTGACGAAAAAATGATTAAGGTACTCTTACAAAAAAATTGATTTTAAAATCAAAAAATAAATCGGGTAGAGTTGTTTTTAATCTGTTTAAAAAAATCGTGTATATTCATAAAGACCACAAACAAAAAATATAAGGTTAATAAAAAGAACTTTTTTATACTTTCGAACTTCAAGAAACTTCCTGCATTTAATATTATATTTATTAATCAAATTTTTGTACAAAAACAAATGTTTTACCACGCACAGGAATAAGTGAAATAAAACAAAACATTTAATAATTTACAATTCCTAAATTCTCTACTTTAAAAGTTGATTATCTTCAATCTAAGAATACTACATTACATTAAAAGAAATTTAACTAGTATCTATATAACAATAAAAATATATAAAAAAACGGAAACACTAACCACCTAAACATTTAACCTTAAAAAACACATAAAACACACGTAATAACACAAACCAAAATTCAAAAGCAATATAGCAAATATTTCTAACTTTACAAAACGCTAGATATTTGACATAATTTGACAATTTTCAAAAATCTTAAGTCGAATTCATACGTCCATCGTTCCGTCACTCCAATCATAATTAAGTATGATCTGTCATTTTTGAGAGAAACCAATAAAACTGTCAAAAAAACATGTATTATATAAACCCATCTATAATTAACTTAAAAAAAAACACTTTTTAGTGAAAAATATGAATTTGTTTGGCCGTTATTTGGCTTTTTCTGTCATCTTCTGTCAATATATTCCCTGAGTCATTATCCAGGCTTTTTAAAAAATAGTCTCTTAAGTACAAAGATATTTATAATAATATTAAGTTACTATATTCATGCATAACTATCGAAAATAAGTTTTATTAATATAATAATAGGAACATACGTTACAAAAAAATTAATTAGAAAACAAAAATTTCACAAACAAATTTTGTAGCTTAAAAATACTCGTAACTTCCACAAAGACATTTATTCATATAAATTTACTTTAATTTTTCCTTTCTACGCCACTGGACGTGGGCTTTTTATCCCCGACATTTCGTAGGAGAAATCTGTGCCCTTCTGGGCCGTCTCGTTCGTTAAGGGACCGCTTCAGGGGGGGAGAGGGGGGAAGTTTTGCCGTTTTAAATGCAGAAAATAATTGTACGAGGTGGAGAACAAGGAAAGCGAGAGAAAATACAGGATTGGAGGCAAGGGGGACCGGGGGGGATTACAAAAAAAGGGATAGATAGGGTCGGAATGTCAGTTTGAAAGGGTGTGTTTCGGGTTTTGATTACGTGTTATTTAAGGAGCAGGATTTAAATCATTCTCTTGTTCGCTTTTAAGTAAAAACAAGAAATCTTTATTGAAGTTGACAAGAAATACGGCTGTAAACTTTTACAGTACGGTAAATAATTGAATTTAAACACATCTAGAGAAAGTATCCAAATTCAATTCAGGCAATATTTAGTCTAAGTAATACGATAATAAAACTATACTACCAAAAATATATTTACAATACACCAATCTAACTATGGAAAACACAATTTAGTAGAATAATTAGCAAAATACTTAGAAATTTAGAACTTGACGGCATGTGTCCATTAGCAGCAAATTATTAACCGAAGAAGTAT